GTATCATGTCTTTATGTGAGACATCATGAATCGTGTCCCATATGCTTCAGATATAGGGTCGATTTCACGTGCTATAATATTGATCCTTTCTAAATTTTCCAAATGCTTAAGGCATTTAGAAGGGAAAAGTCTAGAACTGGATATGACTAAAGTGATTAAACAATTGTCGAGGACAATCTAAGGTTTACCAAAGATTGGTTTCTCAAGGACAATTGGAAGTATAGTGATAATTCTGGAAGGACCATATTGACATAATTTGTAAGGAGGCAACTCTTGTTCAGAAGTGATAGTCAAAATGGGATCTGGAAATGTTTCAAAGTTAGAAATTATTCAATCTATGTAAGATTAGGAAACTTAATGCAAGAAGGATGTTCCCAAGGAGCTGATCTCCTTTGGAATGCTCTGTAATGGTTGTTGTCAAGTCTTTCTGACTTCGTGCATAATCATTACAAGAGGATCAATGCATATAAGTTTAGATCTAACAGATTTCAGTAAATGACATGAATTTGGAATTCTTCATTTACAATAAGGATTTGGGATTGTGAAATGAGTATCATTGGAATCATGTTCAATTGATCTACATCACAATGTAAGGATCATAGACAAACATAGTGTGCATACTTGGGTATGGCATAACTATTGTTTAGAAAACAAAGTGTACATGCTAGGAGCATGGGACGACTGTTGTTTTATTCGAGTCTTAAGTTGATTATTTGAAACATTGAATAATGTGTAATCAATATGGTGATAAATAAAAGTGGTTTTATTTATATTCAAAAGGGTTCTGAGACCATATTAGATTCGATTATTATTGTGTTTCACTTTGCATGTTTTGACTTCCAAAATAGCTAGGTTATCTTTTCGAATGACTAAGTTATTTAAACACTCCACAGTCGTTCATATGTTGGAAGTAGGTATGAATCAAGACTGTCATGAATCGGGTTTGTAGATGGCTAAATGGGTTTAGTCATGGCAATGGTTGCTACAACATTCATGAGTGCTCATAAGTTATGAGTATTGGAATAAACCCACGCTCACTTGTATCACTTCATGGAATTTATCTCGAGTGATCGTGAGACGGTAATATCATATAAATCTTCAAACCTAGAGATATGAGTTGTTACCTATGAGTTGGTTGTGCATTGATTGCACGTAAACGCATCAGTAACTTGATGTTATAAAACGTGCCTTTGTGTACAATTCAACAAGTAGTAGAACAAGTATATGAGTCGAAGTTTATCTGTTCCTTCTAGAAATAGAAGCGATATCTGGGCCCCTCGATGATTTTGTTGTGACCTATGTACCTGCCGGTCAGAACTGAATTGATGTGTTCGATTAAGTTCTTTGTCAAACAAATCGAAAATCGGGAAACAAACTGCTGGACAATAAGTACGACGTTGTTCCATGTATTTGTCCGGCTGATATCATGAGAACAGAGGATTATATGATCCCTTATCTAATGGACAAGTCATTGACAAGGTCAGAGTTCATCTACAAGGTCAGAGTTCGACAGAAGCTTTTGAGAGATACGATTGCCAGTTGGTTCCTGAAGTCATACGCAATAATAGTTTTAGACTTATCCAAGTGGGAGACTGTTGGATTAATGTCTAAGTCCATAACTATAATTGGTAAGACTTGACCCGACCCGGCATGGTCCATTTGGGTTGCATACCGTCATGCACTTGGATAGACTATAATGAGAGAAATAAGACACTTATGGTTATTAATATATTATAAGTTATAGTATATTAATAATAAGAATAATAAGATTATTTAATTAGTATTGATCAAGAATTAATCTAGGATTAATTAAGTGATCAAAAGAAGACTAATTAAATATATGGGTTGATTGTGTAAATCATCCATACTTATATAGTGGGCTAATGCTCCATGGATAATCAAGTTGGGCTAAAACCCATAGGATGGTCCATGGATGCTCCATGGTGTATTTGAACCCATGGATCCAAGGAAATGGAAAGCCATGACAATTAAGGATTTACCCTAATTGTAACACTATATAATGATATTATTCTTGACAAAAATCGGCCACTAGTGAGAGTAACAAAAGGGCTAGCCGATTTCATGAAGTGTAGAACTCTCTCAAGTTATTCTAAGTGTTTTGATGATTGTGATTCCATTTGAGGCTTCCACACTATTGGGGCTAGGCACTCAAGCTTCATGAAGACTTTCTACATCAAAGAGGTATGTATTCTATCTTGATACACTCATTGTTTTGTATGCTAGATTAGGATAATACCTTGGATATTCTTATTTGTATGTATAATAGAGAAAACATAGATCCAAGGTATTTAGGGTTGCATGTACACTTAGGAGTGTTAGAATGCTCAAAACCCAACATGTTTATCTTTTATGTTATGTGTTCATATTATATGCTTGTTAATATGTTATGTATACCAGACCTCGGTCCGATGTCGGGTGAGGCCCGATGTCAGATTCGTCCAATGTCGGGCGGGGGTCGATATATTCGGCTAGGCTCAATGTATGCTATTATGTGATTATGTGTATGGTATGATGTAGTTTGGGGGGACTCACTAAGCTTCGTGCTTATAGTTTTCAATTTTGGTTACAAGTATTTCCGCTTGCAATGGGAAGGGCTCGGGATAACTGCATGGCACACACCACAACTTTTAGCCTGGGATGATTTACACTAATGTTTGACACATGATTTTGATATATTAACAGTTGTTTATGATATTTTTGTGATACATGACTGATGATTTCATATGAAGAATGACAATTATTGTTTTTATATATATTCTAAAACAAAATTTGTGGACTATATTTTTAGGATGTTTCAAGTGACGTGACCATATGCTGATCATGACGCAGATTTGTCATAAGCCAAAACCATAGGTATTAGTCTTTGAAACCTATTTAAGGAATGCAATGTTTACGGTTTTCTCTATTCTCTTAACCTTCAACTCTAGAGAATACCATGAAAAAAACTAGCTTTCCTCTCTTGTGATCTTTACCATTGTGTTCTTGTTGGTGCATCTTAAAGGATTAGAGTAAAGCTTGTATTTTAAAGAAGAATGATTCAAGAAACATCCAACCTTTTAAGCATGTAATGGGCTTGTATAAGTCTTACATCTTGGAGCTTAATGTGATTGCATGCTTAGATCTAGGATTATATGCTCGTTATAAACCATTTAATGAGTTTTATGTGGTGTTTGGAAAACAGTATGTCAAAAGCTTGAGTCTTGGGGTCTTGTGGCCCATGGGAGTGTAGGACTCAAGTTTTAGTCATTCCTTTTATACCATGAAGGGGCTTAGAGGATTTTTCTATAAATGTAGATCTTAGGTGAGTGTTAGGTTGGTTTGAGGCATGCAAATAGATAATTTTCAAAACTATATCCACTAAATGCATATTTTTGTTGTGTTATGGAAGTTTTGAACTTTAGTCTTTAAGGAATAAGACCTTAATGAACAGGTGGTTGATTCACTATAGTGCATTCGTATTCCTTAATTACCTACCTTCGAGATACTTAACTTCAACTTTCATTGAAACCATACTAACCAATTTTAATTACTTTAGTTCATATTTAACTTCAATTCACACATCGATAGGGGAACCGTTTGCTCCGATTGTGCTCTACTACAATTTTTTGTATTCTACTTTGTGTCTGTTTTCTAGCTCATTGGCGAAGAGTGAAAATCTCTCTCTCTCTCTCTCCATAATTTTGATTAAATAGCAAGTAGCAAGAACCTATGATTTAATTTTTGGATGCGTTCGTTTTTATAGTTTGGGTCCTTCGAGAAACTTAACTTCAACTTTCATTGAAACCATAGTAACCAATTTTAATTACTTTAGTTCATATTTAACTTCAATTCACACATCAATAGGGGAACCGTTTGCTCCGATTGTGCTCTACTACAATTTTTTGTATTCTACTTTGTGTCTGTTTTCTAGCTCATTGGCGAAGAGTGAAAATCTCTCTCTCTCTCTCTGTCTCTCTCTCTCTCTCTCTCTCTCTCTCTCTCTCTCTCTCTCTCTCTCTCCATAATTTTGATTAAATAGCAAGTAGCAAGAACCTATGATTCAATTTTTGGATGCGTTCGATTTTATAGTCTGGATCGCTATATATACCAGCTAGCTAATCCCATCTAAGAATTCCCATTTCACTTGTGCGCGTATTTTTATCCCAATGAAAGGCCATAGCTTTCACGTCGGTGGCGTTTCATTTTCTAATAGATGTCTTCACAAATATGAGCTTTCCACATAGAAAATTTTCAATGCTTTCACTATTTGTTCAAAAGACAAAATACATCAATTGAATAAATTTACAAACATTTAGTCACGTAATAGTTTTTATAATACTCCATCAGTGGTATAATATGAGTTGTACATTTAAAATAAACATCATACAATATAACACAAAATTTAGTTAGAAATTTCAAATTTTCTAATTGTAAAAGGGTTCAAAAAATACATTCGATAAACTATCATTTTGACTTCAACTATGTACAATCTGAGTCAACACTATTGGTCTCCCATAATTTATCAAAAATAGACTTGTAATTCATTAAACGTTTTTGCACTGTAAATTAATTACAAGCGAAGTTTGATTATCTTTATGGAAGAATGACATGGTAAAAGACAGCAAGTTTTATTAGCAGTAACAAGTGGTATAAATGCACCTGTTATATGTGTGGTATGAACAACACTCATGGCTACGGATAGGTTTACCTGGACAAGATAACGACACTGCACTGTTATGTTCTTTACCCTCACTTTCTCTCTTCTCAAATAACCTCGAAATCATCCCAGCATTATTCAACTAGATTAGCCCTTCTATTTCTTTTGATTTACAACATCATTTTCCATAATCACACAAAACAAATTAAATAATAAAACCTTTCTCAAGATTTGTTAAGGAGAAAGGAAGCGAGAAGCTTCAGTATAACAAGGCAACTCATTTACTGAAAACAGAAACACCAAAACAAAGACAAAGCACACCAAGTATGTGTTTTCTTTTAACTCAAGTAGGTGATGTTGAACTGCGTCCGAGACGAAGCTCTAGATCTAACTCTTCCACTGAGGAATTTGTGAAGAGAAGATGATTGTTATTGTTACTGCAGGTGGACATTGATCCGTGAGTGTTGCTAGAGTTGGATAGAGAAGATTTGATATTGTCAGGAAGCACAGCTACTGGAAAGTTCATCAAGTTAGCAGTGGTGGGATGTGGTGCAATTGGGAGACGACTAGAGGTGTTATCATTGAATGTTTTTATAGGGCTAAATATGGTATTAGGGTTCGGTAAAGAGTATAGAAGACATAAACCACCATTTCCATCAAAGTCTTGTGTTGGGATCAAGAGAGTGGACGAAGAAGAAGAAGAAATTGAAGAGGTCATGTAAGGGTTTTTCAAATTTGGCTGAGCTTGGTGGAGGCGAGCCCTGTCACGGCGGTGCACATTCATGTGGCCACCAAGGGCCTGGGCTGACCGGAATTCCCGCCTGCAAAACGCGCAAGTGTAGGAGCGTGGTGGCCAAGTTGTGCCCATGATATTTCCAGTGTCTTCCGCGAAGGCTCTAACCTCCCATGAATCATCCTTTTCTTGAGAGCTAGCAGCCGGTTGATTAGGGTCCCACATCCACGACACCCCACTGGAAGTGGTAGTGGTGGTGCTAGCTAGTGCTGGGGTTAATTATTGTGGCTGATGAGTTGATTTCGACAATTCCTGCAGGTAAGTTAGCGAAAGAAGAGCAAGATCAGGTCATCAGGAGCCTTAATATGGTGGTAGCAATAACATTTATATATGGTGGAGAATGTTTGAGAGATGAAATTGTGAAGAGAAAGAGGTTAAATAGGGGATGGGGTTTATTTCAGAATTTGAAGACAAAAACAAAACCCTAGCAAGCAACTGGCACATCAACAATGTCTTCCTTTTTTGTTTTTAATTATTTTATTCAACTCATTTCTTCATTGAAACAGGCTGTTGAGAGATAAATAACATGCCAATCAACATTGGCTTCAACGACCCTATTCAAACCATCTATTTTCCAATTTAAAATATTCTTTAAATTACTAAAAAAAAGTACCTATATGTTGTGCGAAATGCATAGGAATCAATGTATAAAATTTCTCACCTTCTAATTGTATGTATGCTGCCACTTCTTGTTGGGACTACTTTTGTATTTGCATTCTAGCTCCTGGGGAATAGTATATTAGGGATAAGCCTCAGATCCTAGCTTTGTATATAGTGTTACGATTTACAAATATTATTTTTGACACAACATTTACATTAAATTAAGATATATATATATATATATATATATATATATATATATATATATATATATATATATATATATATATAGATTTTTTTTAATTGACATCAAGAATTATAAACCATCGCTTTCTTAGGCTATAATAATCATTTTCTTTTGTGCTTTATTTTATTTTCAAGGGAAAGTGGAAAGCAATGACCAAGAAAACATTCGATTAAGATTAGTTAGATTATTCCATTTACATGCAAAGTTAGTTGTTCTAAACGAAAATTAAGAGCTAGAAATAACATAAAATTATGTAAAGTTCAAGGAGACGGCAGATTTTAAATAGCAGAAAGGTATTTTTTCCAAACAAAAAAAAGGATGTAGCCTTCTCTACTTTCTGTTTTTCTTCTTGTTTAGTAAGTTTTCTCTTATCTTCTTAAATTATCTGTTGTGTTTCCTTAGTTCTAACATGAGGAACTCAAAAAAACACCATCCGATTGTGTAGTTATCAAGGATGGAACATATAGTTTCTAGGAATTCTAATGGCTATGTAGTTAATTTGTATCCAGAGGTCTTTTGTAGGAGTATTTTCAATGCTTAAGCCTTTTTGGGATGATGTAAACAGATTGTGTTGAATCTCCTAGTGTGTTTCCATTTAGCCATCATGACCTTTAGTAAATAAATGGCCATGTGGGCTGATAAAGGTGTTGGAACATGGACTAACACTGTACAATGGAAGTCCTTTACAATTGATGACCTAAGTGAGAAGAGAAGCACATTGTTGATCCGACGATACAAAAGTTGAGTGTCAAGTGATATATTTTTCTAATGTCTGTGTATTAACAGATAGTTAATTGTAGATACGTCTTGTTTTTTTGAGTAATGATCCAACGATACCAAAGTTGCAGTGTGTAGTGATATTTTGTGTAATATGTTTGTGTAACAACAGAGAGTTAAATGTAGATGGGTCTTGTTTTTTCCAAGTAAAAAGGTTAAGGATATTCCATTGCTCAAACAATTTGGGGCTTTAAGAGAAAAAAAAATAATAAAAAAAATAATAAAAAACAAAATAAAAAAATAAAAAAAATAAAAAAAATTAAAATTGGAGCCCTTTAAGTAACCAATGAGATTCAAACATGAGATCCTTATTTTTATAAATTATTGCTTTTACCATCAAATCAAGCTCCAATTTGTCTTTGTAATGCAAGAAATATGTATATATACATATATAATTAACAGAATAAGCTTTAAAATTGATGGTCTTTTAGAATTGGGGGCCCTAAATCCTTGTTTAATTTTGCAAATAGTAGAACCGGCCCTGCGGTGGATGCTATTTTGTTGTGACGAAATTACACATCGTAGATACTGTCTCAAGGCTGCTCAAATCGAAAGCCATTATGTTAACGGTTTATCTTTTTGAAGTGTTGTATTCTATGTCGTAATGAATGTCATTTCGATATATATATATATATATATATATATATATATATATATATATATATATATATATATATATATATTTATTATGTTTAGCATTGTTTTTGTCACTTACATGTCGAAGTCTACCCATAACATTTTGTGATCAATTCATACCGCTTGTATTGTTTTCTATATATAGTGTTATAGGTTAGAGTGTCAGGAACTTTTACACTCGCTCATAAAAACATCTGTTATTGAGCTATCTCTTTTATCTTTGACTACTTTCCTGATCAATATGGAATTTAAAATAATTATTTACATTCTGTATTTCTTACATTTCTAATTTAATTTATTTGTATATGGATTCCTAACTCATCAAGTAGTATCAAAGCATGAATCATTCAACACTTTTGAAGATTTTCCTTCCTTTTTCATCTTTTAGAGCTAAATTGTTCTTGAATCTAATTTCTACATTCGAAATTCGTCTCTTCAAATTTATTTGAGGTTTTATAATCCTGTTTTCTAATTTTAATTTATTCTTTCGATTCAAATCTATTCCAATGGAAAATTAGAACACAAACACCATGATCATTTACACTAACCTTCTTGGTTGGACTCGATTCCCTTAAATAGATTCACCGTCTGTTCCCAGGGTACAGCAACCTAAACAGTATTGTGTACTGCCGGATATCACTACTTGCCTGAAAGAATGGCAGGAAGCAGGAGTGCAGAGAAGGAAGAAAAAGAAGAGTAACTTCATTCGTATCTCTGAATGGGAAGGCAAGGTCTTCTTTTATAGTTAAATCGTGAAACGGAAACAAATCACTAATTGATTAAGCATTTAATGGCAATAAATGTCATTAATTACTCAATTAATGCATCCGCTACAGAATTCAAAAATAGGGACCAAAATTGTCAGCTTAGCAAAAATTAGGTTAGCGCGCGCCCGAGTTTCGGAGCTGCATTCGTGTCCGCAGGTTGCGCCCATGTACGAGTTCGGTGTTTTTGGTCTACAGAACCAAGATTTGCACCCCCCCTGCGTGCGATGAAGCTTGTAAGCCTTCCATGCAATGAAGCTTGTAAACTTTGTTGAGTTTGGTCTCTCCACCAATGTGGGACTCATTCCCACATTCCTCTCTTTTGCTAAACTTATTCTCAAATACCCATCTTTGAGTATCGATATCTCATTCACTTATACTCTATTTTGGAGATATAATATATCGTTTCGAAGTCCTCATGGAGGAGAGCACAAACCAACTTAAAGTTCGTTATATATACAACATATGTATGTATTTATATATGTCTAAAGTTAGTAAGAAATATAAATATTTATACTAAATTTCCAATAATCCCCCACATGAATGGAGATGGATCTCTGCACATCCAATTTCCATACGAAATTTTTAACAGTTGAATCCTGCATGTGATAGGTAGGTATTACCCTTTGAACCCTCCCTTATGAAGTTACACTTAATCTCCTAGTAGTTAGTAGATCTCGATGTTTTTGAACTAAGCTGCCATTTATGTAGACGACAATGTAAATCTCACAGGACTCTCTCTAACAACGTCATATCCTCATAGACGTGTTCGTTTTTGGTCATGAACACTAACCTGGCTCTGCAGGAGCTTTAGAAAATTTTTTTTGCCCCTATAATTCCCATCGAAGTGACCCCAACTCTCTCTCACATAGGTGATTCCAATAATCATTAAAAACCATATGTTTAGCCTAATTTTGTCACTACATAAAGGAATGGACTAGGAAGAGATGTTAACTCCCCCTACAGTGACCTGCCCCACTCATACAATTAGGTTATCCTTTTGAACCCAAATCTTGGGATCTCCAGTCTTCTGGGTAAGGTTTCCTTCATATGAATTTATTCATTCATGGGGTTTTAATCCCATTCCTCTTGACGAATTATAAACTACATCTCTACTCAAGCCTTTTGTAAGCAGATCCGCAATGTTATCCTTTGACTTCACCCAGTCAACCACGATAACCCCCGTAGAGATCAGTTGTCGTACCATTTTATGTTTACGTTTAATGTGCCTTGATTTACCATTATACATTGTACTTTGAGCTCTACCAATCGCTGATTGGTTATTACAATGTATACATATGGCCGTTACTGACTTAGGCCATTCGGGAATGTCCTCTACAAAGTGACGTAGTCACTCCTCCTCTTCAGCACAAATATATAAGGCGATAAATTCAGATTCCATCGTGGATCTAGATATAACTATTTGCTTAGATGATTTCCATGCTACAGCAACACCTCCAAGTGTAAACACATATCCACTTATAGATTTGGAATCTTTTATGTCAGATATCCAATTTGCATCTGTGTATCCTTCGATAACTGTCAGATGTCTGCCATAATGCAGTCCATATTCTCCTGTGTATCTCACATACCTCAGCAACCTAGTAATACTCTTCCAATGTTCAGAACTGGGTTTACTAGTGTATCTACTTAGTCTGCTCACAACATATGCTAAGTCAGGTCAGGTACAACTCATTAGATACATCAGACTGCTAATAATTGTTGAATATTCCACTTGAATAACACTATCACCTCTATTTTTACATGGATGTTGACTAGTTTCAATTGGAGTTCTAGCTATGCTAGTGTCTCCCTTAGCAATTTTTTCAAGAATTTTATCTACATAGTGTGTTTGACTCAAAATCAAACCACTTTAGGTTCTTGTGATCTTCACTCCAAGAATCACATCTGCTATACCCATATCTTTCATATTGAACCTGGATTTCAACATGTCCTTTGTGGATCTTATTATCTTGTCATCACTACCAATGATACGCATATCATAAACATACAAACACAAGATGACATTGTTGGAATAGTGTCTAAGGCTGCAACTATATTAAGCAAGCATTTGACCCGATTGAGCATGGTCCTTTTGGGTTGCCTTCACCATAACAACTTGATAGAATGATTTACAATGA